CGGCTTCTCCCGGGTTCCAGGGCAGTGCTGGGCTGCCGCTAAGTGCAGGGGCTCATCTCCCACTCACCCCACCTCCCCCACAACGCGCCTGCCCTCCACTCCCCCATGCCCATTCGGGCCCACAGCTCTATCAGCCTCGGCCTGTGTTCCCACTCCCCTCCCAATGTATGTGCAGGGCTGCCCTTGGGGCCTCCCTCCCCTCCGCTTCCCACCCCCCTCCCCGCTCCCTACCCCTTCCCGGCCTCGAGATAAGAATTGGATCCTGAGCTAGGGGTCAAAATAGATGCGGACCAGTGAGATCTAACTGACCGCTCATGGGTCCTGGCAGGAAGGAGTTGTTAAGAGGTCACTCATTACTCCCTGGGGCCCCCTTCAATGAGGGGACCCAGATGCTAGTTTCCAGGACTAGCCTCTTCTTCCCTCATCACCACCACAACCGGGGTCGGGTGGATTGGGGGTGTGGGGGTGGGGGGAGAAGTACTTTCTTATTCCCAGCCACAGGCACGCAAACCTTTACCTTCTCACCCCTCCACCTGTTTTCTCCTTTGGGTGAGTTCTAACCAGCTCATGTAGTTGTGAACATGATGCTATTGGCCAGTATGTGGAATCCTGAAGTAGGTTTGTGGGTGGATAGGCCGTTTGAAAAAGAGCTGAAGCAAGATCAGGGGACTGCCCAGCCTCCGACAGAGCAAATGTCTTTTACCGACAGCACCAGAGACCCTGGAGGGTGTGCAGCCAATGCCATAAAGCACGTGTTGCCATTGCAGAGGCTGCTACAATCTGCTGTGGAAGGGCCAGGTAGCTGCTTTTGTTACCTTCTGATGTATTTCCTAGTGGCCAGTCCCTGCATGTTGCTGACTGATCTCTCAGGCGCTCTGCTCCACCCTTCTGAACTACCCCAAGTTCCTTTCCAGGGACATCAGTAGAATTTGAATATCAGAACCCTTTCAGAAGTGAGGAGTCTGTTGTCAAGGATGATCTGGTGCTGACATCTTACTATATATATATGGCCAAGCTCCAAAATCCTGCAATTAAAACTTGCCCCGCCAGCGTTTCTGCATACCTGTTCCTCTAGAGCAGCGGTTCTCAACCTGTGGGTCGCGACCCTTTGGGGTTCAAATGACCCCTTCACAGGGGTCGCCTAAGACCATCAGAAAACATATATAATTACATGTTGTTTTGTGATTAATCACTATGCTTTAATTATGTTCAATCTGTAACAATGCAAATACATCCTGCATATCAGATATTTACATTATGATTCATAACAGTAGCAAAATTACAGTTATGAAATAGCAACAAAAATAATTTTATGGTTGGGGGTCACCACAACATGAGGAACTGTATTAAAGGGTCGCGGCATTAGGAAGGTTGAGAACTGCTCTAAAGCCTTACAACTTACCCCAAACCCTGGATGGGAGAGTTTGGGTTTTTCCAACACAAGCTGTCCTTTCTCCATTGTGTAGAGCTGTAAATAAAAGCCACTTTCTTTCACTACACCCCGGTATCAGTGTAATTGGCTATCTGCAGCACATGGTGGACTACGTTACACTGGGAATCAAATCGTGACCTCCTGGTTCGTGGGTTAATGCTCAACCAGTGAGTGTCACTGGCCGGGCAGGGTTTTATCTGATTTCAAACAAAATTTTCCATCACAGAAGAGCTTGAGCAAGTTCTATGTGTGTGGCCTCAAGAGATTTCCTGCTCAAGAACCCTGAGTCCCTGAGGCCTTAATGGATTAACATGCCACGTCCAATGGCAATGTCAGGCAGAAGCTAGGACCAGATAGTCAAGATCTCCCTGTGAGGTTTCCAATGTAGAGGGTGTCCTTGAAATCAGAAGGTCACTTGTTAGGCTAAACCTCCTCTAACTTTGTGAAGGCTCTGCAGCAGGTCTTCTGATGCTGTTGTTTCTGTCTTGGCTTGTGCAGACACATGAGGGACACATGTCAGGTGGTCCAGAGGTTGGCCCAGAACACTTGGGGTATTTGTTCATCCCCGAACATCCCAGGAAACTGATATTTCAGATCCTCTAAGGACCTACTTGCTGGGCTACAATGAGATATGTAAAAATACATAGTTAACTCCATTGGAAAGTGGCTCATCTTAGCCTTTACCCTTCACCCATGGCCAACACACCCAGAAATGGTGCCCTTGGGAACTGCTCAGTCATATTAGCAGTAGGAAACTGTTCATAACCTGCTCCTGCCTCCTACTCAACAACTGCATCTAGAGTATGTTGCCCCCATACTGTCCCACCTTTTATCCATTCCTTGGCCACCAGAGTTGGGGTGCTGTTTTAGGAAAGATTAACCACATCTATGGCCAAAATACCACAGTCTTTGAGCCTGTTTCCTCATTAGTAAGTTGTTCACTTCACTGAGACGTAGAGTAGGTGAAAATGCCCTGAGCATCATATACAGCAGTGATTTTCAACCTTTTTCATTTCATTACTAACATTTTGCGGCACCCCTCCCCCAAATATTTTTTAATACGACAAAAAATAGGTATAATTATGATTCATTCACACTGGACGGCTGTTGGCTATCACTGTGTTAGCTGTTGTTATTTCTCCATTTGACAATCTCAGGGGAAAGAGGTAGTGTCCCTGACTAAATAGTCAAGTATTGCATGTTTTAAAAATTCTTGAGGCGCATCGGTTGAAAATCGCTAACCTATATAGTATAATAATAACTATATAGTATAATAATAACTGGCTGCAGGCTCAGGATATGCCAGGCCGTTTGCCATGTAGTGTCTGCATGTGAGCTGCGGAGGCGCGCGGGAGCCCACCTTCGACGCCGAGACTTCCGGGTTCCTGGAGCGACCGGAAGTGGGTCCTCTCTTATTTCCGGTTCGGCCATTGTTTTTTGCTACTACCACGTGGCACACACTGCTCTGCATTTTCTAGATTGTTGGGTATCTTTCCCAAGGCCACCCAGAGGGGAGAGGGCAGAGCTAGGGGGCGTCTGGTCCCCAAGACCTTGAATGGTCTGAGACCGCAAATGCAGCCTCTGAGCCCGCTCCCCCCCCCTCGCGGTGGCTGGCTCCGCCTGGGAGGAGCGAGTAGTC